AGAAATTTTTTATACACACATTTCGTTTTCTGCAATTATAAGATCTGTGCTAGTTGGCATATTACATAATATTTTATTCAATAAATGATTCATGCATGCAGCTGCCCTCCTTGAAGGTGTCATTGGGTCTAACCATTCAAACCTTGTCCCACAATTACATCATATTATGGGTGCATTAAACTATGGATGATGCCCTCTCAAGTTTCAGATTCAAAGCCCAAACATACCAAGATTTGGATCAAACAAGAATTCAGATTAATCAAAATTGACATTTCAAAGGACAATAATTCATTCCTCCCCCCACCAGGACAGCTAGACAAGTGTGTGGTCCTGTGATTCTTGAAGATCAAAAGGAATTTACTGATAGCTCATTGAATCCATCCCATTTGCTTCAAGTCCATCCATCTCCCCTCGCCCTCTTTATTCTTCCCAATTTCACCCATTTTTTTGCTTCTTTATATCACTAATCTAATCTATATACACTCGCGTATCTATCAAATTCTTATTCATCATCAACGGGTTGGTTCAAGTAATAAGCACATTGATATCGTTTAAGTATGTTTCAAGTTTAAGGCCTTGTGTATATTGAAAATCCATGTTGGGATACTTATCCATCAAAACCAAGTGTGTGACACGAATCGGTTCATATTAATTAGGACGAACACTTGAAACCAACAGTACAACAAAGAAAAAAAAATCTTATTTTATTCAAATATATATTTGATTATAATTTTGGTGTTCCTTTTAGCAAGGGCATTGATTCTTGAGATATATATAATATGTGATTGAAAATTTGGCTAGGTGGGAATCCTTTGACAAAGAGAGGATTTTGCTTGCCTAACTTCATAAGTTATACGTCCACTTGCCAAATGACTGAAATTGTTGTCCAAAACATTGCCTCTTGCCTTCTTCAAATAGCCATAATATGATAATAATTTATTGATGTTGGTTGGAACTATCCTCCCATCTTATCTTTTCTCTACAAAATCAAAACTATTAATTGATTTGTTATTTGAATCGAATATGATAGCAGCGTAATACAAGAAAAATCTTTTAACTCAATTTATTTTATTCATAACATCACGATCCGAACTTTAAATCTCATTTAAAGATAAATATAAATATTATTAAAATCTTGTTCCCAACCAATTAAAAGAAAATTAAGTAGGAGGTATTGATGTTTGAGGTTTTAAAATCTAGCAAATAATAAAGGAAGGGTATGAAAATGATTTCGACCACGTTTACGTATATTATTCCTAATAATTTTTAATAGAAAAATGAAACTAAGAGAATGAAATCAAAATATATTTATGATGCATTTGAACTCGAACGAATAAAGTTGTTTTCGAACCAGTGGGTGGACGTTGAGAGTGTCTTACAGTGTGCCCGAAGACATAAAAATGTGTTTTTATACTATCAAATTGATAATTATAAACGTGCAGTACTAAAGAAAGAATGTTTACAAGTTTAATGATCAATATTGTGTTTTTCTTGTGACCATGACAAACATGTTCTTGTCTTCTTTAGAGTTTTTATAAAACTTGTAGTGATTTTAAAGCATATATTTTATTTAATCCTGTAATTATTTTAAAATTTTAACATATTAATTTTAATAATTCTGAATAATAATCCCCCAAGTGCTTGCTGATATGCTTTCAGTTATAATATTTTTTTTAAAAGGAGACATTACATGGAGATGTCGAGATTTGATTGCATTATTTATGTTTGAAGGAGACATTGGAGTTTTTAGGCTATGAGTTTAAGTCCTACCGTGTTTTAGATTAGTTTAATTCAGGGTAAACTATATATTTAGTACTTAAATTATTATTTTTTTTGTTTTAGTACTTAAACTATCAGTTTTCTTTCGTTTTAGTACCTAAACTTTCATTTATTTCAAAATCATACCTAACATTTATTTTTTGTTTCATTTAAAATAAATAAAAATTTAGGTACTAAAACGAAATAATACTGATAATTTAGATACTAAAAATGTAGTTTATCCAAAATAAAACTGCATTAATCTAAAAATATTAGCTGCAGTAATCTTAAAACAACATTATTCACCACGGTTAAATAAAAAAATGAAAAGACCAGTCAAAAGTACTACATTGTCAGCACGCACGTGCCTGCTTGACTCCGACCCGTCCAACCAATCAATTATCTACGCGTCCCCGAAAACATTACAACTTGGGAGCTTAAGAAAAAGATTTTATTTTTTTTATTCAATTAATTTATGTTAAACAGCTAAATTAAGGTCATCCTTACTTTTGTATTTTTGGTTTCGAAGATCCTTTCCTTTACTATTATTGTTTTTCTTTTTCAATTCTGTACAGTATTATAGAAGAAGAATAAAAAGTTCCTTGGAAAAGTCTGGTTTTAGCTTGGAGAAATTTGGATTCTTTTTTTCTGGGAAATGGATGATGAATATGCTAAGCTTATCAGGAGGGTAAACCAACCCAGGTAAATTTTTTAAATTAATTTGTGCTGGGATAGTGGGGTTTTTTGTGTGAATTTGATTTATATACTCTTTTTGTTAGATTTTCCATGTTGTTTTGGATGATGAAAATTTGTATGGGAATTTGAAGAAGATTGCAGTGTGTTTTCTTAAAAACTGACTAAGGTTCTGCTATAATTTGGCAAAGTTTTCTTTTTCTTCCCCAGTTTTGATGGCATGTTCTCTTTTGGCTCTTTATTTGACAAGTATTGTTCTGTTGTTGCAGAGTGGTTATTGACAATGATGCCTGTGAGGATGCCACGATTATCCAGGTAACCCTAAATCATCATATGGGGCTAAGTAGTTCCTTCCTTGTATCAACTTGCTCATATTTGGATTTTGGAATTTGATCTCAGGTTGACAGGGTCAACAAACATGGGGTTCTCCTGGAAGTAGTCCAAGTGCTCACTGATATGAATCTTACAATAACAAAAGCATACATATCATCTGATGGAGGATGGTTTATGGATGGTAATTCTAAAAGTTTATACTAAATCCAAGGTTAACTCACTTAAACATGTACTGATTTCTTTTTTATATGTTTCCCATGTTTCAGTTTTCAATGTTGTTGACAATGATGGCAACAAAATCAGAGATAAACAAGTTATTGAATATATTCAAAGGGTTAGAACCTGCCTCATGTACACGTTTGTGAATTCTTTTCATTATATTGATTATTTTCATCGTTACATTTACTTTTTGCAGAGAATCGAAACAAGTGCCGGCTTCGTACCTTCGCTGAGAAGCTCAGTAGGTGTAATGCCTTCGGAAGAGCATACATCAATTGAACTTGCAGGGACTGATAGGCCTGGTTTATTATCTGAAGTATGTGCAGTCCTCGCGGACATGCATTGCAACGTCGTAAATGCCGAGATTTGGACTCATAACGCCCGTGCTGCAGCTGTAGTTCATGTGACGGATGATTTGACCGGCCGTGCTATCACTGATCCGAAACGACTCTCGACGATAAAGGGATTACTTTGTAATGTTCTCAAAGGGAATGATGACCTGGAAACAGCAAAAACAACACTTTCAGCCCCGGGACTTATGCATAGGGAGAGAAGGTTGCATCAAATCATGTTTGCGGACAGGGACTATGAAAGGGTGGAACGAGCCGGAGTAAGGGCGGCCAAGGAGGGCAGCTCAAGACCCCAAGTCAGTCTGTTGAATATTGAGAAAGATTACACCGTTATTACCATGAGGTCAAAAGATAGGCCAAAACTATTGTTTGACATCGTCTGCACTCTGACGGATATGCAATATGTTGTTTTTCATGGAATGGTCAACACAGCAAGGATGGAAGCTTATCAGGTGAGATGGTTGTTTTAAGAAAAAGCTGATGAAATGATCCGTTTTAATGTAATGACAAGCCCTATATATACATATATCGCTGAACTTTGAGGATTTGACAAGCTGATGCTATATTGAAAGTTGAAACACCTGGTGTAAGATGATGCTGACTTTGTAATCCATTTTAATGACAATTTTTTTTTTCTTTGTAGGAATTTTACATCCGACATGTAGACGGGCTCCCGATTAGCTCGGAAGCGGAGCGTGTCCGTGTTATTCAATGTCTTGAAGCAGCCATCGAGAGGAGAGCATCTGAGGTATGGGAAATCATCTTCCCACCGTCTCTCTCACACACACGCCCCGAAATAGTAAAAAGGAAAATTCATTCTGATAATCAAATCAGACACCTTGATGTAACAACCTGTAACATTTCATGGTGCAGGGGCTGGAGCTAGAATTGTGCACAGAAGACAGACTTGGACTGCTGTCTGATATTACCCGGATTTTCCGGGAAAACAGCTTGAGTATCAAGAGAGCATTAATTTCTACGAAAGGCAGCAAGGCCAACGACACCTTCTACGTGACGGATGTGATGGGAAATCCGGTGGATCCAAAGATTATTGATTCAATCTGTCAACAGATAGGACGGAGTGCATTGCAGGTGAAACGTAGCACAAGTGTCGCGCAAAAACCACCTCATCAAGAGACAACAATGGGTTATTTATTTGGAAACTTGTTCAAAGCTCGTACTTTTCAGAATTTCAAGTTAATTAGATCTTACTCCTGATTTCTCTCTCCGTCCCTGCATAGTTTGGTATTTCATGTAAGATATCAGCTCAGAAGATATACATGGGGAGCAAGCAAAGGACAAAGAAAACCATGTAAAGTTTACCCCCTCCCTTTCATTCTTATACTGTGTAAAGGAAAAGAAAAGCATTAGCCACTTACACTCAAAGTTATTGATGTTAGTTGTATATCTCTTGTAATTAAAATTTGCACAGTGAATGCTTACAGAAAGTAGCTTGGTGTAGAAGAAAATAAGTTTCTTGTGGATTACATTCATCCTTTGTTTTGTTTTCTTCCCTTTGATTTCAGAACAAAAACTCAACTTATTAATGCCCCATCCTGTTTGGCTGTTTTAGAAAGGAACTACCAACATACCATATGTGCTGGCTGCTTCTCAAAACCAAAACCTTTATTAGTATTATTATTGAAAAAAAATCAATTAAATTGCCTATGCATATTCTGTACAAAAATTCTCTATAAGAAAAAGGGTTAAAAGATATACAGGGAATGTACATAGCGAGTGTGGTTGTCAATCGTCAAGGCGATGGATCTCACCCATCATTACACGGTTACTTGTGAGTTTGAAACCTAAAAGAGCAGGATCAATCTGTCTTCCTCTTTTCCCTTCTTGCCACTTCGTCCAGCTTGTGCAACTCCTTCAGAGGGATCTGCTTCAGTCCCACGAAGAACCGGCTTCTTTAGAATCTCTATGAATGATGCTTCAGCACAATCGCAAGATGACGTCCTTCTAAAACATGCGTCTTTCTTGCCCGATGCCTCGGTTTCTATGCTCCTCATTGCACGTAGATGTGCCGCAGTCTCCTGTCTTCCTTCTGAACTCGCTAAATAAACACAAGATGTATATACAGTTGAAAAAATGATACATAGGGCCTTCATCTTTTCTCTGATTAAAGAAAGAGAAGTCAAAATCATACCATCAGAAGTTGCAAGGCTTGTAGAACTATTCTGCTTGACAAATGCCAGTGAGTTTTCATCAGAAACGACATCCTGGGATGAAGAAACCTTTGGTACAGGTGGGCATTTCTGTGAAACTTTGTCCAGTCCCTTTGCCAGCATTGAAGGTGACCTATCAATAAAAGAGGACCTTTAGATGGTTCTGCAAATTAAGTTCAACAGTTAAAGCTCCAACATTGACTCATACTCGTCATAGCAGCGGCAGCTATTATAAGTTTAGTCATGATAATGGACATTAAGGATTATTCTCTTACGAAAACCATGTAGTAAAAGAACCCCACCTATCAATAAAAACATCATCAACCGACTTATCTAATCCAACTTCATATCCATTCAACCTGCTGCTCCCATCTGCACAATTTCACTTTTACGATTTAATAAATATAAAAAATGGATTATTTACTGGGGGGGGGGAAGTTCAGAAGATTACCAGTACTAAGAGAATTATGCCGGCTATGGATGCTACTTCGTAGATCACCACACTCCAATGCTGTTTCTACTTGCACATTATCCTCAGACCCCGACATGGAACCATTCCTTGCAATCATAACCTTCATTCCATTTTCCTTCTCCTTTGCTTCCAGTTCTGCTATTTCTACATCCACAACTGATTTTCTCATCAAGCTAGCATCTGCATAACTACCACAAGAAGAGTCTTCAATGGCCATCAAGAATGATTGCTCTTCTACAAATGAGTCAGAACCAGCTTTAAGAGGAAATCTTTCACAGTTACCCATTTGGTTGACAGAATCACTCACAGCAACTCCATGCAAATGATCTTGCAACAAGGCACTTGAATCAGAATTTTGAAGGCCTTCCGGAAACAAGTAATTCTCATGAACTTCCTCATTTGGAAAATGATTTAAAGGAAAATTGGAAGTTTGCTGCTCAAAAACGGGCCAAAAGGTTTCCCTCCCTTTAGAAGATGACGTAGAATGTTGACAAACTACTTCTGATGATTGCATAGATTGAATACCAAGTTTTTGATGAAGGTCCATTAAAGCTTTCTTAGAGTTTTCATGAACCCCTCCAGCTGATGCCCAAGTGCTTGAATCAACTTCAGACTCCCTTCTTTGCAATTCTGTTTCAAGATTTAATTGTTGCATCTGTTTTACGGTCCAACTATTTTCTAGCCGCACATTTTTCCTAGAGTCGAAGCTCTCCGTTGCACCAGGATGAGAAGCATATGCATTACTTGGAACATGCTGGCTAAGAGAGTGGTTACCTGAAGAAAAAGGACCAAGTTGGTTGTTGGACAGCCTATAAAGATTTTCAGCTAGATCTAGAGAATTTGCATTTTCTACTTTCATCCCAGGAGCAGCTGCAGGGAGATTCAATCTGCCAAATACTGTAGAGTTGGGATCAAAATTCCCTCGCTCCAGTAGGTCCTGCAAAGAATGATTCTGACTAGCAGTAAGGCTCTTCAAGAGGCGACAGCCTCTGCTGGTAAATATCTGAAGCATTCAAGCCCACGGAAGAAGCCTGATGATGATTGCTAGGATTCCCAACAAACTGACCAACTTCATCCACGGACAATGAACCAGCAAGCCTCCTATCCCCCTCCATTCCTAATTGTTGCCTCAGTGCCATAGATAATTGCTGCACTTGCAACTGCTCTTGTTGAAGACGAAGCTGATGCTCAGAAGGAAGCATATTGCCATACTTTGCCTGTGACATTAAATCAAAAAATTCAGCTTGTTTCCCTTGGAGTGCACTCTGGTTAATCTTTGCTTGGATGATCTGCTCCAGTGATGAATCCAGGTGCCTTGAAGCATGAGAATTCTGCTGTCATTCACTCAGGATATGCCTACGTAACTGAACCTGATCAAGTATGTTGTCTCTAGCAGCATCAAATACGTGCTGACTGTAACCCGGACCAGACATCTGATGCTGCAGCAATTGATCAAGAAGAAATTGCTGAGATTGAGACTGTGGCAGCCGTAGATGACGCTGTTGCTGCTCCTGTAACAATTTGATTTGGTGGTGGTGAAGATGTTGCTGCCGCTGAAGTTCCAGCTGCTGCTGCTGCCGCCGCTGAAGTTCCCGCTGTAGTTCCAGCTGCAACCTCTGATGTTCCAGCTGCTGCTGCCACTGAAGTTCCAAGTGCTGGTGCTGCCGCCGCTGAAGTTCCAACTGCCACTCCTGTTGAAACTGAAGTTCCAAAAGCTGTTCCATATGTGGAGCTGAATGATGGACTGACTTCCGGTGATCGAGATTTTTACTCATCATAAGATCAAAACCATGAATTTGCTCCATATCAAATCCAGCAGAATGTGGAAAGGGGTGAGAGAAATGGTTTTTCTCTTGAAGTGGTTCATTGGGAAACTTTTGTGACATTAGCTGCTGTAACAAGCCAAAACCATCATATTCTTGCTCCCTGTGAGATGGCCGGCCACCAGTAGTTCCTAGATGAATGTTCAGGTTAGACACAGGATTTCTAGTATAATCATCTGGGCAAACCTCGGGAAAAGAAGTTTGTTCAGAAACTGTACAAACAACACTCTGACCAGTAAAATTCGTCTCTCTATCAAGCAAAGGATCTAAAAACTTCCCCCTATCACCTATGTAGGAATCTATATTAGATGATTGAAGACTCTTCAAACCAGATGGGCTCCTCAACTCAGACATCAACAACCCAAAGGGATGTAACTCATCTTCTTGATGAGAAGTTAAATTGGTTTTCAAGAATTCATCTGTAATGGACAAATGGCTTGCAGGATCAACACCAGCACTTCTGGAACTTCCAGAAAAAAATATTTCTGAATCAAACAGGAGGAAAGGGAGGCATCATTAACAAGCACAATAAATAACAAAACCAATAATAGGTCCAACCAATTAAACTTACCCTCTTCCTGTGCATCAGCGAATTTAAGGAGGCTCTGATCTTCAGAATGCTCAGAATGATAGCTTTGAGTAGGTTGTCTTAACTGAAGCTCAGTACCAGATGCCTCAACAGCAGACCAAGTCCGCAGCTGGTCACATCCAATGGAAGACCCTTCGACTCAGGAGCAGAAGCAGAAGATACAGTCTCTCCCAAGCTCCCTTCAAAAGAAACAGGTAATTGCACTCTCGTAACCACATTATCACCGGATGCAGAGCCATAATTCATTCTTAGGTGTGGCATGACTTCACCAAGTTCCTGGAAAGGTGATCCGTCCAGAGCATCAGCCAATCGAACAGGTAAGTCTGTACCAAAATAACCTTGCTCAAACCATGTAATCATGTCAATTCCTAGGTATGGTCCCTGAATTTCCCCTTGAGGATCAAGATAGAACAAACTCAAATCCTCAGGAGGGACAACACTTTCCGACGAATGTGCCTCATTATTGCCGTTAATATTTATCTGGTTAGGGCGTAGAGAATGTTGTAATGACGAAAAATCAAATAGAGAACTCGAGTCTTCAGGAAGCTTGCTGCCCACTCCAAATTGCATGGATGATTCATTATCCTCCAACGTAGCATGTTTTCGCATTTTTAAATCAGTGACTTGTCCATTATCAAAAGAAATTATTTCATCAGCATCATTTATGGACCCGCCAATCTCCCTATCTAATACCAAAGCACGGGTTACATCTATGTCAGATGGTGACAGACATCTCAGCCCACCTTTTGAACTATTCAATTCTGTAAGGACAAGCATAACAAATCATGGATACGTTCTCAGTGGATAATTCCAACTAAAAATGATAGTTCCTACCCTTGGTCACAGTTGTCTGTGAACCGGTCACATATGTCTCAGAATGCTTCCCTAGATGGTTATTGTTTACATCAGTCTTCTCACCAGAATCAACATTATCCTCACTGTTAACCAAGGAACTTTGTTTCCCTTCACCTGAAATCACATCAGCAAGATATGGGTTAGGACAAAAAAAAGAGAAACTCAGAATCTCAATCATATCTAATTATTTACTAGGTAACACACTAGCAAAAAATCAGGATCCATACTTGTGTCTCTATATGAGTTATACAGCACTCCACTGCTTGTAGCTTGTCCCTTCCATATATCTCCAAGGACAGTCTGTAAAAATCAAGCAAGCAAATTTGATTCAACCGCATAGAAGGATAAATATGACTACACATTTCTTCTCTAAATTAGATTAAAAGTCGTGTACCTCTTCTTCTGCATCAGGAGGAACAAAAGCCAAAGGCTCGACAATTTCTTTTTGTGTTATTGGTAATAAATGATCCATCTCATCAGACAGGATGTCAAAATTTGGAGCAGTCTTTTGCTTGCGGTAAATGTCAAGGAGTTTTCCTCTTGGGTAGCAATATGCATTAAAAGTTTTGTTTTTGTCCAGAGGAGGAGATCCAATGACAGAAGCAGATTTTAGCCTCCCAATTTGTAGGCTTCCATTAGCATTTGATCTACCTCGTCCTGCAAACCCACATTTGATCCCTCCACTCGTCCCCTTTCTGAACCAAAGCCTGGAGCACTATGGTAAGAAGCAGACCCACCTGCATGAATTTCCAAACGATGACGTGGCCTCCACTTATCACGAGAATCATTCTCACGGTCAGAAGCTAAGCAGCCCCCACTGACAAGAGCTAGTTTGTCAGTAGGGGCATCTTCCTTCTCAGCATCTGTCCTCTTTTCAGTTCGAGAATCGTTTTCTTTGTCTTCAGGACCCCATCTTGAAGACCACTTGTTGTCACTTCGAGATTCATGGCTTGAATTACGACTGCTAACATCATGTCGTCGCTCTGAAGACGCCAAGGTCCTATTTTCAGGAGCATCCCTTTTCGATGAAACATCAGCACGGCGGTCTTCTTTTCTGCGATCTCTTCGGCCAAGTAAGCTTGTTTCTCTCTCCTCTTCACGCGACGACTGCTTTCAAGATCAGGGGCAGTCCTCGTCCGGTCTTTCTTGTCCTGAGACCCATCCAAACGCCAACTATCTTTTGGATTGAGATCACCAGAGGTTTTATTCGGCAACAAACTTGAAGTTCTAATATCCTGTTACAGTAAATAAATTATAACACGGGAAGAATGCAAACCAAAATAAAAAATTGTCCGCAAGCTAAAAGTCATATAAATTCGTATGAGCATTATTAAATGACATAATCTAGTCTAACAAGTTTTTATGTATTCAGGTATAGTTTTTACCCGAACTTCCACCATATAAGGATAAAAAAATACTAGAAATCAACACATAAAACCCTCATATGGAAACGAACGCAAGTAATCTAAAAACTTATTATGAGAAATTGAGTTCCATACCCCAGAAGTTCCAGAAGACAACCTCTTAGAATCAGACGGTTTAGCGTAAAGCCACTGTGGGGACAAAGGTATGTTGCTCTCTGAAATTGCTTGATCTATTAGGAAAAAGAAAATAAAAGGTAAAATTTTACAATAAAAGAGCTGTTCAAGTTTATAAAATGAAAAAACTTAACTATTCAACAAATATCACCACCTTTTGTGTCCTCAAGTAACCCTGTGAGTCCTTTGTCCTCCAAGTTCCTTTCCCATGTTTCACCTAAAAAATAAAAAGACCTAAGATAATTTATACATAGGTGAATTTGGCAGACAACACAACCACAACTTCCAAGCTTGTTTCCATGGATTTCCTAAATTATAAAATTATTTGAGAATGAAGTACCATGTTTCCGTGAAACAGGTGAACCTTTCCAAATAATTAGAAGAAATCATGCTACAGTAACGTATCAACTTCAGCAGTGGCAGTTTACATTTCCCAATAATTATGACGAGCAACAAAACTAATATTCATTTTTTATTAACAAAGTACGATCTGTTATCTAATCACTGATGCATTTGAAAGGAAGGTTTGAGCTTAAATATAATTCAACAGAGAAACAATTACGAACTTTTTTATTATAATTTATTTGCTTTTATGGCGAAAACATTTGAATAACAACACAGTAAAAAGAAATGAAAGGTTTGAACAACTTCGAAATGAAATCTTAGGGGAAAACAAATAAATTATGAACGAAATCAGAAATTTACAATTAATAAATTAATCCGGACTAATAAAATTGAAATAATGAAACATTCTGTAAAAGAATAAAGAATAACGAAAATGCACGGATTGAAATGAAATGGAAACCGATACAATAGGCATCCAGAAAGTTAAAATTGGAGGAAACAATGAGAGAAGTAATTGATCAAAAAGAAAAGACAGAATACATTTGGGGAAGGTGTGATCAGAGCTTGTTTTGGAGGAGAGGAGATCATCAGGTAGATCTGATTTTCCGTAAGCCATCGAGAATTCCAAAAGGCAAAGAATGCAGCGGAGATACGGCGGGGTTTAAGATTCTGAAAAAAGCGTCGGAGGCTGAGAGAGATCAAATGGGTAGATGTGAGAGCTTTTTTATATAAAAAAATTATCTTTTTCCGATCAAATTAAATAAATATATATTGGTAAAATACATCATAGGTCACTAATTTATATTCAAATGATCATTTTGATCATTATACTTTTAAAACCTATAAAATACATTAAAAATTTTGAACTATTAATTATTATTTTTGAATAGTATGAGATGATTATAAGTAGTGTGTATTTAGAATTTTTTCTTAATTATTGAGAAAACTCACAGACTTTGTAGATATAGTTGTTCGAACTTAGGACCTTTAGGAAGAATAATACTTTATTTTATCACTAAGGTTACCCAATGGGTTTAACTATTTATTATTTGGAAAAATTACTTGTTTAGTGACCCAACTATCACGCTGGTTATATTTTGGTCAGTTAACTATTGTTTTCAAAATCATCACTAGTGTTAAATTTTGGTCAGTCAACTATTGTTTTCAAAATCATTAGTGTTAAATTTTGGTTACGTTGTTTTCAAAATCAGTGTTAAATTTTGGTTACGTTTTGGTAACCTGCCTTTAAAAAAATAACAGAACTATTTGATATTTTCATTTTTTTCTCAATGATGATGTGACATTTTCTTATCGTGACACGTCAATATTATTGTTAATTTACTTAACGATGGGTGACCAAAATAAAACGAAAACATAACATTAGTGATAATTTAAAAAAAAAGTAGTTAGATGACTAAATATATAGTTTATCCTTATTATTTTAAAGAGAAAATAACATCAGTGACCAAAAATCCCATATAATATACGATTTTAACCAACTTTTTCCGGATTTGCCAAAATAACCAACAAAATCGCAATGCGATCGCTAATTCGCAACACGATCTCCATTATCGCAAATCAATTTCCAGATTCGCAACGCAATTATGACTATCGCAACGATAATACAATCGCAATGCGAATTTGGACGCAATATGACTATCGCAACGCGATAATACAAAATCACAATGCGATACTGACTTTCGCAACGTGATTCTGACTTTCGCAACGCGATTCTGACTTTCGCAACGAGATTCTGACTATCGCAATGAGATAATACAAAATCGCAATGCGGACTTTGATATTGGTCAATACTCGGATTTTGATGATGTTTCAGAAGAAGAAACAGACCCTGCGTGTAATGATTTTGATATTGGTCAATACCCGAATTTTGATGATGAAACAGCCGTTGCCGAGGAAGATGTTGTTGATGATAATGAGGAGGAAGTTAAGACTGTGAATGAACATGTTGAACATCCATTCTGTAATTCATATAATCCTAAAGAAGAAAAAGAAGAAGAAAAAGTCCCCGAAGAAAATGCCACGGGAGTATAACTGACTTCACCTTTTGGGACTGTTAACTTAGGTGATTTTTAAATGCAAACGTTGTATTATGTATATTTTATGTGTGCACTTTTAACATTTTCAGTTAGGCATGTATTAGTAACTTGAGTTTGAACATTGCTATGATCTGTTCAGTTGTTATCACTTATTAGACATTCATTTGACTATCGCAACGGGGAAATCGCAACGCGAAAATGGCTATCGCAACGAGAAAATCGCATTGCGATTTTCTCGTTGCGATTTTCATTTCGCATTGCGATTCTCTCATTGCGATAATCAGTTTCGTGTTGCGATAGTCTGTTTTGCCTTCAACATAATGCATATTGAAAATCAACAAATCAACTATTACGTTTCAATCAATTAAACAAGCACAAATAAGAATTATGTACACATCAATTAAACAAATCAACATTTACAAATCATTTTTTACAAATCAATTAAACAATCAAAAAATAATAATAATTCTTATTTCCTCATCAATTATTGAATCAATGAATCAACTTTTTCACCCGTACATCCATTTCACGCAGCTCACTTAAGAATTAACTTGCAGAAACCAAACATTTGCTAAAACAAGACTTCCTACACATCTAAAACCTACAAACAACAAATTATTGAATTCTAGGTACTTAACCAAACATTTTCAAACCAAAAGGAGTATATATGTTAACAAAACTTGCATTTGACTTACCAATTAACAATGGATACTTTCATAACGCGGATGCAGGTAGGCAGCGTCTCGAATATATCGCTCTAGCCATATAATGCCGAAACCACAAGCCTACTGCAGCTCTATCTCTATCGGTGGGAGGTAGAAACTCTGTGCTTCCCGTCGTCAAACGCGTCAAGCACATGCATACGAGAGGACCACAATCCCCTCTGGCTCCCGGCGATTATTGTGGCGCGGTCTCGTCTATGACAACTGTGACATTGAACTTCTTTGGCTTCTTGTGTCCAGAATGAGTCCAATAATTAATCACATCCAAGAATTTAGCCAAATGAGAGCTCCATCCCTTGATAATATCTCTCAAATCAACAGTGATATGTAATTTATCATGCTGTCATATACTATTATCTTCAGGGATGGGAGCTGAAGTTGGACGAGAAGCCAATGACGACGTTCCAAAACAGGGATAAACACCTGCAATCATAAGTAATAATTTATTTATTTGCGCACTTATTTATGAACACCTTTAAAAAATTTAAAAAATAAACACTAACCTTATCGACCTCCCACCATGCAGGATAAAGTTTAGCTTGTCCATTGCCCAACGAAAATGATTCATCTCGTTGATTCTTCAAGTGAACTGCGTGAAAAGCCGCCGGCATTATTGTATATCGCGATTTTTTTTATTTTTCATAAGCTTCCTTATTATTAGAAGACGTGACACCCACGCATCGATATGCTGTTTTACAAAAAAAGACATATATTAGTGGATTACATTAATTTTTAAAAAAATTAATCAAAATCATATATAAGACAAATATAAGACTTACCTCCCCATCGAAATAGTCACTATCTTCAACCCCTAATAACACACCCCACCAAGACCGATTAAGCAACAAATACATCTCATCGTTGAGTTTGCTTATGTCAGTGTAACACCCTTGGCTCCGCTCATGTAGATAAAAATCAACTGCGGTCTTAGCCTAAAGGGTATTATCCAGAATTGTTTCCGGTAGTTGTCTCCTCTCCACTTCAGATACCGGAAGGGTACTAGCCGGTAACTCATACGAGAGCCAACTCTCATCCATCATGTCCATCAACGGTGGGGGTTTCTCAATAATTCGATATATTACCCCATGTGAATCGGGCTCTGGAATGGTGGGAGGGACCTCTTCAACGATGACAGTGGCCTCTTGAACGGTGGGGGGGACTCTTGAGAGATGATAGGGGCCTCTTGAACGATTGGAGGGGACTCTTGAGGGATGACAGGTGAGTTGGGCTTCTTCTTGCGGAGTCTTCGCACCATTGGGGTGAACGGAGACGTAATAACACGTGTACGCCGTCTGATGCGTGAACTCCGTCATGCAAGGAAAAACCGACGTAAAGCATCCACCTTATCGGGCCGCTAAAAAAAATTAATACATAAATCAGTAAATAAATAGACATGATATTAAACAAAGACAAATATGTTTCAAACTTGCATTGTATTCATCCAAGTCATTATTCTATCATAGTTCACAAAATGCATCAGATAACATTCCAGAAGTAAGCACTTATATAAACATTTAAAAGGACAACATATATAAACATTCCAGAAGAATAATAGTTTACTTTCACAACACGAAACTTACTTTCGCAACGCGAAAATGACTATCACAACGCGGAAATGGCTATCGCAACGCGGAAACAAAATCGCAATGCGAAATGAAAATCGCAACGCGAAACACAAATCACATTGCGATTTTCATTTCGCGTTGCGATTTTCATTTCACATTGCGATTTTGTTTCCGCGTTGCGATAGTCATTTTCGTGTTGCGAAAGTAAACTATTATTTTTCTGCAAATTGAAACTTGAATGGATTGCATTACTTCAACCAAAAGACAAAAACAAAACCAAAAACAAATACTAACAAAAACAGTTTAGCAGTATTGGCAGCAACCGAATGAATTTATTAAGCAATCTAAGTGAAATGGTTAATCTAAGTGAAATTACGAGTAAATTTATCGTCAAGTTAGATATGAAAAATCTTAAACTTACCTCGTTGCGTAGAGTATGAACCTCATTCTGCAACGATGCTACCATCTCACGTAGAGCGGCTACCTCACCGCGTAAAGTAGACACCTCAACACGCCATGCACCATCGTCTTTGTGTAAAGTACCGACCTCTTCACGCAAGGCATTGACCTCATCACATAACTCCCCTAACTCATCCCGTGGAGGTGGAGAACAAGGAGATAAACGTCGTGGCATCTTTGCCGGTCGCCTATCTTGCGGTGATGGTGGAGAAGAGGCTCGATGATGTGACATAATAGGTGATGGTGTCGTTGTGGAGGTGTATAGTCGGTCGATCAGGTGATGGCTCTGGGTGAGGTGATAGCTCTGGGTGAGGTGATGGCTCCCGAAGTGGAGGCTGCTCATCATCCGTGCCATCAAAAAAACGCTTACTAGCTTGCCACCAATCAGTGGCAAGCTCAGCTTCCGTGGGTGTCAGCCTCTGTAATGGAGTGTTGGCCTCCTAACAATATAAAAGCTCAAACAAAGTTAAACGTGTACTAGTAATAACTTGTTTATAAACATATGGTAGTATTTATGTTAACTTACATTATTTATTGTCGTATACCGTAGTAAATCTTCCCATTGCAAGGTCTGTTTCCTCTTCCAGGAAATAGCCCTGGGAATATCATTTGAAGTTTTTATTGCATATGTCTTCATGGCGGGAAATGCCTCAAATATCCAAATCTACAAACAATATAATAACAAACATTAGTAATTGTTAAATAATTACTTATAATTTTGGGAACATTATATAAAAAATTCTTACCTTAAAAGCCCAAATAAAGCCTGTCAAAGTGTATTTGGAACCATCGCCATGCAAACTTTTTCGATCATCCAAGGCAGACGATAACTTATTCCATGTAGCTTTCCATAAATACGAGCCCCACGGAAACAGGTTCCACGCATTTAGGTCTTCT